GAAAGAATCCCTTAGAGTGTGCCAAATGGAAGTCCTCTGTAACACTTCAGCTCCACAACATTGTTTTGCAAAGTTGTGTGGTGTGAGTAGCAACAAATAAGGTCTCTACACTTTTTGTGTTCTGCAGATGTGGGATTTGCATCACTCCCAACAGGTCTTTAAAAAGGGAAATACAGTCATTAACCTGGGAATGGTTCCCTTATGTGCATCTACTTGTATTTTAAATCTGGGACCTCTCATTCTCATAAAGACTACTGAGAAACAGTGTTACTACACCAGACTATAAGGAGAAATAGCAACTCTGATGTGGAGGCTGCACTGTACTGTAAAAAATAGATATATTTATACACATGTACAGAGCTGGAGTTCAACCCCTGTGGGTATGGGTATTCTTTGGGCTCTCTATCTAAAATTCCACTTTTAAAATGGAATGTTTATATTGAGAATTATCATTATCATTTGCATGTACATTAGGGCTAACACTTTTAGCCAAAAGTTTGCAGGGAAATAGCTAATAAAGTCTCAACTAGTTAGCATAATTGCCCAAACAACAAAGGCACTGGTTATCTATAGCCATCTGCTCAGGCCAATGTGGGTTTTCTTAGCCTCTGGGAAATCAAATCACTAAGACCTCCAGGCTACAAATTCTTTCATCACTGTCTGACTATTTTGGTTCTATGACCATTTGTATTCAGCTTTAGCTTACATGATGCTTTATAAGTTTATGGTATGGTTGCTATAAACCTGATTCTCGGCTTGTGTCTACCCTGAATGTTTTGGGATAATCTCTCACTGTCCTGCAATGCTAATGTAGGTCAATTTCTAGCTTTTATATTACTCAATATACTAACTCTTTTAGCTAGTTGACACCATATGGTGGTGAGAGTGCTTGTGGCCAGCCCAGTGCTACTCCCTGTACTAGAGAAATGGGAGAAATTTTTAGGAAAAAGGAAGAGTAGTCAAGCAATTTTGTGTATTTTGGAGCCAGCTTCTTAGTTCATACAAAGACTAACTCATGACTCATTGTGAAGCAAAGTCATTAGCAAACAAATGAAAGACCTTGATAAAATCTAAACAGCTCCAACCTGATACCATTAAGCCCTCCCTTAAGACTGACTTCTGTCAGTGCCTACAAAACCAACCTAGTAGCGAGGCGGGGACAAGTTGGGACCAGTCCTCTTCTTCATCTTTACTTTTTCTACTTTCTTTCTTGATTCCACCTCCCACCCATGCCCCACACCCTTAATAAAATGACACATCTCTGACACATTCTGACAGAATGGCTGTAATTCTCCAGATTGATTTGCTTGTATGTTATCTCCACATCCTCTTTTGTCCATTTAGGTCTGTGACTCTCCATCACCAGGGTGCAACTTTGAAGGAGATTGCATAATATTAGCACTATTAGGTGTGCAAACACCTATACATGATTCACAAGACAAAGCCAGAGGGTTCAAATAGGAATCCAAAGTGTCAAATCCATCCTGACCACCTGGGATCTTCCAGAGTTCTTTGCAACAGAAGAACTGCTCCGTCATGTTTTCTGTTGTCAAAAAATGACTGAAAGCTGTAAGCTAGCATTTTCTGAGGGGTGTCTTGAGTCTAAAAGAGTTGAGAAACTGTGGTTTAGATCTTTACATTGTAAAACCTCCAAAGCAGGGATTGATTCTTTTCTACGTTGGTACATTACCAAGCAGGGCTCTAATCCCAACTGGGGCCTTTGGGCTGTACTATAATAAAATTATTTAATTGTTAATGCCATAATCTATATTTAATAATCATAATAAAGTCTTTCGACTGGCTCCTTCTGAATCTGGAGGGGCGTTAAGAACTTTGCATAAATGGGAAGATATCTCATCTGGTGGTGATCTGCTATCATATAAACTAACCCTAGCAGCATGATTTAAAATATCTTCATTTTGAGTGGACTTATAAACAACTCAAATCCCAACTACATATGCATTCATCGTGGCATGAAGCAATCCTTAATCTAAAATGCTGTCAGTAAACTTCTCCCCCAACAAATCCTCACAAGCCATCACAAGAAAACAGTAAGTACAATTGAAACATGAGCAATATCAT